ACCCACGATGCCTTGTACCTTCTCACAAAGTGCTCGAGTCTGCCCAGGTTGACATATTTCCTAAGATGTACACCTTCATATGATAACCCTATACTGCACGAATATGACAGTATCCTGAGGCAGATTTTTACGAAAGTACTTAACCTTACTCTAGAAGACGGGCAGTGGAACCAAGCTACACTTCCAGTCAGTCTAGGAGGCATTGGTGTCAGCAAGTCATCACAGATTGCACTACCTGTTTTTCTGTCCTCATGTATTGCATCCAGAGGGCTTGTAGCAGCGATTCTCCCTGAACATCTTAGGGACAAGATTGGAGTCCAGGACCAAAAGTTCATTGACGGAGCCATGATCTGGGTTAATCTAACGGGCTCTGAAACCAGACCTGCCCCCCCCAACAACTACAAACAATCGCACTGGGATGGTCCAATAGTGGAAAATATAGCCTCAACAATGCTTCACAGTGTGTCAGGGAAGGATAGAGCCCGCCTCCTGGCAGTGAGAGCACCTCATGCAGGGGATTTTCTGTTGGCTGTTCCCAACTCCAGCCTTGGTACACGCCTCGACCCACAGACCATCCGCATCGGTGTTGCCCTTCGACTTGCCGTCCCTATTCTCACCGAACATAGGTGTATTTGTGGCAGTGAAGCAGCAGACCGATTCGGGTACCACGGTCTTGTGTACCATAAGTCCGAGGGAAAGATTGCAAGACATGAGGAGGTTAATAACATTATCAAGAGGAGCCTCACAACAGCCAGATGCCCAGCAGTAAGGGAGCCACCCCAGCTATGCAGATCTGATGGCAGCCAGAAGCGTCCAGATGGCATCACCCTTCAAGCCTGGACAGATGGGAAGCAGGTGGTGTGGGACTATACATGTGCATCTACCTTGGCTGATACCTATCTCCAATACACCAGGGAGGAAGGAGGGGCAGCTGCCAGCTTCAGGGAGTCCCAAAAGTCTAGAAAATATAGAGAACTTGCCCATCATTATATGTTTGTTCCCATAGGCTCAGAGACCCTTGGCTCATGGGGAAAGAATGCATCTAAATTCCTTAAGGAGCTGGGAAAAAGACTCATCAGGGTAACTAGGGATCCCAGGGCAGCTAGTTTTCTGTTCCAGTGGCTCAGTGCGGCTGTTCAAAGGGGTAATGCCTGCTGTATTTTGGGCACACGCCCCAGCTCTGAGGAGCTGGACGAGATTTTCGCCCTATAATCGGTGATACACACGTAACAACATGTACTGTATATGCCACCTTTATATCAACAATGTATCTCTTAAATCAAAAAATTACAATAATGTTGCATAACAGTAAATTTTTTTTTTTGTGTTAATAAAAGTTCAAAATGGAATTCATGTGTAAAGCATGGAAACTTAACTAATGAACAGAGAGAATGTTATTTTAGGGCAAGGAATGCCTGCACTGTTTATTCAAGACCCTATTCTGAAACTGGAATATTTTGAAATTTGTGAAATTAGCCAGATTACCAATTACTGATCACTATTGGGTAGTCAAAACAGTTGATTGGGCAATTTCTTGTGCTCAATCAATAAAATGGAAGACATACTAGCAAAACAGCTAAGAATTTGGAAAACTGGAACAATATAATTGGCCTAAATGGAGGAAATCGTCAGTGGGTAAATATCACTGACACAGCAAAATTTGCGAAGGCATAATTTGTCAGTTTTCCACCAAATTTTGCACTTTTTGTTTTAGTACCTTCAGAAAAAGATTCTCTACTATTTCATAAAAAAAATATTTTTCTTTTTTTAAGTTTTGCAACCCTGAGAACAAGTTTGAGAGCAGGGGTCGTCACCCTAAAAGAGTAAATTTCACTGTACTAAAATTATTTTATGTAATGGTACACACTCCAACATTGTACAGCACTTAGTTATTTCAGTCTGGATGACAAGTTGATGAGGATGTCATATGTGATAGAAGGCCAAGATGTTAGTAATTGATCAATTTCTGCCTCTCTTTCAAATAGATGTCTTCAGATGCTGTCAGGCAGCACTGTTCATGCATGCCCAGTACCCACCTTCTCTTACTCTATTAGACACACTGATGTTGTATTAGGGATAGCCATGGCAATTCTTTATACTACCTCTAACATACTCTCTCCATTCCAAGCTGAATTATCCCAGAACCCTCAATGACAGTGTGCATGCCTACGAAGAAGCTACACCGACAGTGACAGACTGAAAAAAAGCTTGGATTAGGGAACACCTGACAGATAAATTTCAGGATTGTGAATATAACTAGCAAATTTCCATAAAGATCAGGTACTAGGCACCATGCTCAAAATAATTAAGGGCTCTTCCTTGTAAAAAAAAAATAAAAACATTAATTTTTGTAACACTCATGTACTGTACTTTCTTGAAAAAAATTATTTTTATTATCTTTTTTACATTATGGCCTTCTCCTGCCAAGGATGGCTGACCCAAAGAAGAAAGAATATTCACCCACTGCCATCTTTCCAGAAGCATGTTGACATCAAAATTAGACTACCTCTCTGACTGCAACAACCCCACCCCCCACAACTCCAGGACTTAAGTCCAGCTAATGAGTTTCTCTGATTCCCTTTAGGTTACCTTGATGACACTGCAACAGCACATTACTCCATATTATTATTATTATTATTATAATCAAAAAGAAGCGCTAAGCCACAAGGACTATACAGCACATTACTCCATAAAAATTACTTGTTTCCACTTCGACCTAACATGCTCACACAAGTCTGTTAGATCTTGAAGCCATTAGCAATCAAAATCTCCTTTACTTTCTCATTCACTCTCACTCTCAATTCTCTCTCACTCACTCACTCACTCATTCTCTCTCTCTTTTTTTTTTTTTTTAATTACACAGGATTTGACAAGGTTAAGGATCCCTAGCTTTATTGACAAGCTATTTACAGGTTAAGGATTCCTAACTTTATTGGCAAGCTAAGAGCTGTTACCTACATCAGCTCATTTGAAAGCATTTTTATTGTTATGAGACATACAAGTAGGGGACAGGATGAAGTTAGAGCCATCTGTGGGCCAGCATTTTCATTTGATCAATTGACTTTATCTCGGTGACATCATTATGGTGTACGAATGTGTTCCATACTCGAGTCATCCTGGGTATATAGGATCTCAGATGGAGTGATGTTCTGGAGAACGGTAGAGCCAGAGTGAAGTTGCTGCTTTCTGCCCATCTTGTGGCATAAAAGCTTGTTTCATGCTGTCCTCGAAGTGGATCCAAGTGTGGTACTTTGACAATATTGGTGTTGTACATAACAGTAAGGGCACCCACATCTCTCCTGTGTTGAAGGCTCTGCTGAAATGACAGATCTATCCAGGATGGATCCAGGCGAGAGATGAGACGTCTTGCTCTGTTCTCTATTCTGTCAAGCAGTCGCAGATGAGAGGGGGGGAGGCAAACCAAGAAAGTGGAGTATACTCAAGGTGTGAGCGTACTTGTGCCTCGTACAGAATCTTGCAACCCCTACTGTCAAGCAGATGCAAGATACGGCAAAGTGCTGTAAGCTTCCTGGTTGCCTTGTTTGCAAGTTACAACATGGTTCTTTATGGTCAGTTTGGAGTCAAATTTCACCCCAAGGTTATCAACTTCTTCTCCAGGTGCCAACACCCTCTCATTCATTCTCTCTCATTCTCCCTCTCTCACTCTCACCCTTCCTGGGACAACCCATACCCCTCCTTCCTTCAACCCCAGATTTTTATATTAATATTAACTGGAGCAAGAGCAAGGGGCTAGTAACCCCTTCTGTATAAATTACTATATGTAAAACAAAACTTCATAGTTTTCTTCCTTTTCAAGTTACCCTGCCTTGGTGGGAGATAGCCGGAATGTTGAAAAAAAAAATAATTATTAAATGTATCATTACTAGTCTGTTGGTAAACCATACCCCCGGCCGGGATTGAACCCGCGGTCATAGAGTCATAGTTGTCAATTCATTTGCACCAATCTTCACTGATGGCTGTAAAATTATAAGGCTAGAAACTGAACATGACAGTACGAGACTACAAAAATGACCAGAAAACTATAAAAAAAAAAAAAATGGTCAAACAAGTGACTAAAACAGTTCAACCCTCAGGAAATGCAAGGTAATGAAACTGGGTACTGAGAAATGGAGAGCAAAAAAATACAGTACCAACTGACTAGGAATAAATGAGTAAAACGAAGATATAGTAATAATCCTTACATCAAATCTGAATAGAACAGAAAAAGAATATCAACAATGGCAAATGCTGAGCTGGCCATTATAAATCTAAAGAAAAACTATTTGCAGCAACCTTTACCACTTGTCTGCTATAAATACGTAAGTACACAAGGGTAGTATTGAACATCATATCAAACACGAAAGTTCAAAAGTATGCATCCAGGTTAATATCATGCTGAGCTACAAGTAAAAAAAAAAAAATTAACTATATATACTGTATTTGGAAGAACACAAAACTAAAACAGAATAAAACAATATAATAATTACATGCAAAATACCCTCAATACAAAAAAAAAAAAAGCATTAACAAGACAAGATCTTGACCAAGAGAACAAAAATTGAAAATGTACACAAAACCAAGCCACAGAGACTTCAGGAAACACTTCAACTTCAACATACAAGTAGTAAAGGAATTGACATGAGCTAGACAATGCACTCCAAAATAACTTCATGTGTAAGATTGAACGGAAATAACAGATTTACTTATTAATCATTGTGACTTTGTAAAAACTTACTGCTAGTTTTAGAACCAGCTTGCCACAGGTTTGAACCCAACTACAATCATTAAGAAGGTGGAGCTAATTGATATTACTAAATCAAAATTAAAGACGTAGACAAATAGCTAACTGCAAATACATAATTACTGCCAACAATGAAAATATATTCCTAAACTGTCAATAGAGCATATTTAAATGACACAAGGGTTAGTTTTACAAAGGAAATAACATTAACATTTGTTATAATAAGAACTGTAACAAATATTAACCTGCATGTCCTTACCTTAACATTAGCACAAAATGGATGGTAACACTGGCCACACTGAGCACAAGCAATGAGACGACCTTCTTGATCTTGTCCGAATGCCCCACACATGGCACAAACATCTTGTTCAAGACAGAATTCATCATCAGTAGATACGAGAATAACTTTATTCTCTTCACCTTCCTCCTTTCCAGAACTATGATTGGACTCCATCACCTACATAAGAAAACCAAAGGACAATTAGAAAGCAATGAGACAAAGCAAACAATAAAAATGTATCTCAACTGCAAATTTAGCCCTCATTAAACATCACAAAGAAACAAGCAAATTAATCATAAGATCAATACACAATAGTTTTCTTCTAAAGCTGAGGGGCTATTCAATAGATAGAAAACACTGCAAACACTGTGGTCCATATATGTACTAGGAATTTTTCACAGAACTTTATAAAAGACAAATAAGAAGAACATGGAAGCTTCATAGACAGATATTTGCCTACTTGGATTTTACAAGGGTAAAGCACAGGTGAAAAATGATAAATAGGGGGAGGGGGGGATCTTTAATTGAATTATGAAATAAAAAAAGGATAAATTATACGAAACATGGTATAAGGTGCAAACAGCAGTTAACTATATTACTAGATAAATGGTAGATGGGCAAACTTCTAGATGTGCATAATTTATAGGGGGGGTGACACATGCCACATCATTCAATAGGTAGCAACAGCAAGAGTAAAAAGTAGGTGGAGAACAAAGAGAATGACATCAGCAAGATAGAAGTAAAAGTTAAAATGAACGAAACAAAAGAGAAGGCAGTCAGAGGATGATAAAAATACCTATCCAAGGAAAGAAGGGCTAAAGAGAGTACAGATAATGAGGTGGTGGTCAGTAGATTTTGGAATCCAGTACTAGTGTATGCATCAGAATTCTGCGAGTTTAAGAAGGTTGGTGTAGGAGAGAAGAAGCATGATTGATGGAATGATGAGATAACAGGGAGAAAAAGTTAGCAAATGAAAAGTTTTTACGAAGTAGAAGTGATATATGAAAGGCAGAGTATAAGGAGAGAAAATGAGACTTAAAAGAGTGGTGCAGGACTGTAAAAAGGAGCAGAGAGAGAATGAGAGAGGTTTTATCAGTATATTTAGCTGAGAATAAGAAAAAGTTTTAGCAAGATTAATACATTAAGAAAGTCGACTTGGCAGTTAAGAACAAAAGTGGGGAGATGGAGATGCTGGAAAGATGGAGGATATTTTGAAGAGCTACTAAAAGTTAATGAAAGGAGGTTGTGATTTCATGCACTCGTCAAGAAGAAGCAACATCTCAAAGGAGAAATAAACAAGTGTGAGAGAACTGCCTGAGGCAGTGGGTAGAATGAAAAGGAAAAAAGCAGTTGTGACACATGGAATTAAGACTTGACTGTTGCAACCCCAAATCCTGAAGTGTCTCCTGGTGTCACAAAATATTTGAGAAAAAAAAAAAAAATTTCTTAAGAAATGATAGAGAATCTTTTCCCGAAGATAACGACTGCAAAAGTACGAAATTTGACGGAAAACTTACGGAATTACGCTCTCGCAAAGTTAGCGATCTCAGCTTCATTTACGCATCGGTGATTTTGCCCACTTTGAGCCCTATTTTCAGCCAATTCCATTGTTCCAGACCACCAAACTCAAAGCTATTTCTTTAAAACTCCATTTGTTCTATCGATTGAGCACAAGAAATTGCTCACGTACCGATTTCAACTGCCCAATGAAGTCAGAAATTGGCAATGTGGCCAAAGTCTCAAAGTCAACCATTTTAATCCAAATCACAGTCAGAGTTTTGTTTTTCTCATTATGCACTGCGTGCTGCAGGATTTTTTTTTATACTGTGCACACTGACCACACAGACCCATTCCCTAGCATGTGGGCCTACCAGCTTTCTCCTGCTTGATTTGAAGCCGCTAAAGTTTTTGAGTATACACCTACCATCCGACTTACGACCTGCTCGACTTAAGACCACTCGACTTATGACCGTATTTTTTTATGCCAAATTTCTGGGAAATAAACAACTATTTGTGTTGTACACAGTGTTTATCCTAAACCTTACAGTATAAAATACAGTACTAACAACATAAAAAGTAAAGTAAAACATGAAATACCAAAATAAAACAAAAAAATAAAGTCATTACAAAAATGTTTTGTTAATATTCAGTAGTAAATTTCAACTTACGACCATTTCGACTTACGACCGGTTTCTCAGAACCGAACTCGGTCGTAAGTCGGATGGTAGGTGTATATACGTGAAACACACTGGCTCATAAGATGTTTATATACGACCAAAACAGTCAAAGGGTTAAAAGCAGATTGGGATATAATTTTTGAAGGACTGGTATATTTATTCTTTCTTTTGGGTCACCCTGCCTTGGTGGGAAACAGCAGACGTGTTTAAAAAAAACAAAAATACAGTACATGAAAGAAGTGAAGGTATGTAAGGAATGGCAGAGAGCATGACAGCTCGTTTGCATAAAGAAAATGAGACCCCAAGTGTAAAAAATTTTTAATTTTCATATTTTTGATGTTACTGCTTTCAGAAAAAGATAGTATACTATTTTAGAATTTTTTTTTTTTTAATTCCCGACATTGTCAGCACACTTAATTTCAGGGGTCCCGACAATGAAGGGGCTAATAACAAGTGTAAACATTTGTAAAAGTAACTTGCCTGAAGAGAAATATTTTGGTAGTTGAAATAACCTCTGTATCCACGTCCATTGCCTCGACCTCGGCGAACTGGAATTGTTTGCCCTCGCTTTTTTGAACTGGAAACTGCCTTCTTTCCCACTCCATACTTTTCACCAGCACCTCCTCGTAATCTTGGAAGAAATCCACCTCTCTTAGCTAAGCTCAGGGGTTTTCCACGAGAACAGAAACTACTCTGAGGTTTGGGAACAGAAGAGAGATCTTCAGATTTACCCTCTGATGTTAAATCTGTATCATTGGAATCCTCAGAATGAACTGAAGATTCTGGAGGCCCATCACAACTGTCATCTTGAGCTGTCAAAGAGGAACACACATCAACTGAAACTAAATGAAGTCGAACAATGCACCTAAAATATCACATGTATGAATACAGAACAGGAAAAAAAATGCACTTTAAAGAAAACTTATTTAAAAGATCCAAACGAATTTATTCTGAAGCTGTTCTATTCAGGTAAAAGATATTTCAAAGCTCCAGACATTCATTTTACTTTACATTCAGTAAACAATTCCTATAACCCAAATTCAACTGTGCTACTTAATTCCATGTAACACACAAACAAAACCACAAAAACAAACACACACACACAAACACACACACACACACACAAAAGGGGTTTATTATATAATTTTTTTTTTTTCAACAAGTCGGCCATCTCCCACAGAGGCAGGGTGACCCAAAAAAAGAAAGAAAATCCCCAAAAAGAAAATACTTTCATCATCATTCAACACTTTCACCTCACTCACACATAATCACTGTTTTTGCAGAGGTGCTCAGAACAACAGTTCAGAAGCATATACGTATAAAGATACACAACATATCCCTCCAAACTGCTAATATCCCGAAACCCCTCCTTTAGAGTGCAGGCATTGTACTTCCCATTTCCAGGACTCAAGTCCAGCTATATAAAAATAACAGGTTTCCCTGAATCCCTTCAATAAATATTACCCTGCTCACACTCCAACAGATCGTCAGGTCCCAAATACCATTTGTCTCCATTCACTAATATCGAACATGCTCATGCACGCTTGCTGGAAGTCCAAGCCCCTCGCCCACAAAACCTCCCTTACCCCTTCCTTCCAACCTTTTCGAGGATGACCCCTACCCCGTCTTCATTCTCCTACAGATTTAAATGCTCTCCATGTCATTCTACTTTGATCCATTCTCTCTAAATGACCAAACAACCTCAACAACCCTTCTTCAGCCCTCTCACTAATACTTTTATTAACTCCACACCGTCTCCTAATTTCCACACTCCAAATTTTCTGAATAATATTTACACCACACATTGCCCTTAGACAGGACATCCCACTGCCTCCAACCGTCTCCTCGCTGCTGCATTCACAACCCAAGCTTCATGCCCATATAAAAGTGTTGGTACTACTATACTTTCATACATTCCCTTCTTTGCCTCCATAGATAACGTTTTTTGACTCCACATATACCTCAACGCACCACTCACCTTTTTTCCCTCATCAATTCTATGATTAACCTCATACTTCATAAATCCATCCACTGACACATCAACTCCCAAGTATCTGAAAATATTCACTTCTTCCATACTCCTCCTTCCCAATTTGATATCCAATTTTTCTTTATCTAAATCATTTGATACCCTCATCACCTTACTCTTTTCTATGTTCACTTTCAGCTTTCTACCTTTACACACACATTCCCAAACTCATCCACTAACCTTTGCAATTTTTCTTTAGAATCTCCCATAAGCACAGTATCATCAGCAAAAAGTAACTGTGTCAATTTCCATTTTGTATTTGATTCCCCATAATTTAATCCCACCCCTCTCCCAAACACCCTAGCATTTACTTCTTTTACAACTCCATCTATAAATATATTAAACAACCATGGTGACATTACACATCCCTGTCTAAGACCTACTTTTACTGGGAAGTAGTCTCCCTCTCTTCTACACACCCTAACCTGAGCCTCACTATCCTCATAAAAACTCTTTACAGCATTTAATAACTTACCACCTATTCCATATACTTGCAACATCTGCCACATTGCTCCCCTATCCACTCTATCATATGCCTTTTCTAAATCCATAAATGCAATAAAAACTTCCCTACCTTTATCTAAATACTGTTCACATATATGCTTCAGTGTAAACACTTGATCTACACATCCCCACTCTGAAACCTCCTACCTCATCTGCAATCCTACATTCTGTCTTACCTCTTAATTCTTTCAATTATAACCCTACCGTACACTTTTCCTGGTATACTCAGTAAACTTATTCCTCTATAATTTTTACAATCTCTTTTGTCCCCCTTCCCTTTATATAAAGGGACTATACATGCTCTCCGCCAATCCCTAGGTACCTTCCCCTCTTTCATACATTTATTAAACAAAAGTACCAACCACTCCAACACTATATCCCCCCCTGCTTTTAACATTTCTGTCATGATCCCATCAGTTCCAGCTGCTTTACCTACTTTCATTCAACGTAATGCCTCACGTACCTCCCCCACACTTACATTTTGCTCTTCTTCACTCCTAAAAGATGGTATACCTCCCTGGCCAGTGCATGAAATTACCGCCTCCCTTTCTTCCTCAATATTTAAAAGTTCCTCAAAATATTCTCGCCATCTACCTAATACCTCTATTTCCCCATCTACTAACTCCCCTACTCTGTTTTTAACTGACAAATCCATACGTTCCCTTGGCTTTCTTAACTTGCTTAACTCGCTCCAAAATTTTTTCTTATTTTCATTAAAACTTCTTGACAGTGCCTCTCCCACTCCATCATCTCCTTTCCTTTTGCACTCTCTCACCAATCTCTTCACCTTTCTTTTACTCTCCATATACTCTGCTCTTCTTACAACACTTCTGCTTTGTAAAAACCTCTCATAAGCTACCTTTTTCTCTTTTATCACACCCTTTGTACTTCATCATTCCACCAATCACTCCTCTTTCCTCCTGCCCCCACCCTCCTATAAGCACGAACTTCTGCCCCACATTCTAATACTGCATTTTTAAAACTCATCCAACCCTCTTCAACCCCCCCACTACTCATCTTTGCACTAGCCCACCTTTCTGCCAATAGTCGCTTATATCTCACCCGAACTTCCTCCTCCCTTAATTTATACACTTTCACCTCTCTCTTACTTGTTGTTGCCACCTTCTGCTTGTCCCATCTACCTCTTACTCTAACTGTAGCTACAACTAGATAATGGTCCAATATATCAGTTGCCCCTCTATAAACATGTACATCCTGGAGCCTACCCATCAACCTTTTATCCACCAATACATAATCTAACAAACTACTTTCATTAGGTGCTACATCATACCTTGTATATTTATTTATCCTCTTTTTCATAAAATATGTATTACTTATTACCAAATCTCTTTCTACACATAGCTCAATTAAAGGCTCCCCATTTACATTTACCCCTGGCACCCCAATCTTACCTACTACTCCATCCATAACATTTTTACCCACTTTAGCATTGAAATCCCCAACCACAAGTACTCTCACACTTGGTTCAAAACTCCCCACGCATTCACTCAACATTTCCCAAAATCTCTCTCTCTCATCTACACTTCTCTCATCTCCAGGTGCATATACGCTTACTATAACCCACTTTTCACATCCAATCTTTATTTTACTCCACATAATCCTTGAATTAATACATTTTTAGTCCCTCTTTTCCTGCCATAGCTTATCCTTCAACATTATTGCTACTCCTTCTTTAGCTCTAATTCTATTTGAAACCCCTGACTTAATCCCATTTATTCCTCTCCACTGAAACTCTCCCACCCCCTTCAGCTTTGTTTCACTTAAAGCCAGGACATCCAGCTTCTTCTCATTCATAACATCCACAATCATCTCTTTCTTATCATTTGCACAACATCCACACACATTCAGACTTCCCACTTTGACAATTTTCTTCTTCTTATTCTTTTTAGTAATCTTTACAGGAAAAGGGGTTACTAGCCCATTGTTCCCGGCATTTTAGTTGACTTTTACAACACGTATAGCTTACGGAGGAAAGATTCTTATTCCACTTCCCCATGGATATAAAAGGAAAAGTAATAAGACCAAGAACTATTAAGATAAAATCTAAGAAAACTCATATGAGTGTGTATAATAAACATGTACATGTATGTGTAGTGTGACCTAAGTGTAAGTAGAAGTAGCAAGACATACCTGTAATCTTGCATATTTATGAGACAGACAAAAGACACCAGCAATCCTACCATCATGTAAAACAATTACAGGCTTTCGTTTTACACTCACTTGGCAGGATGATAGTACCTCCCTGGGTGGTTGTTGTCTACCAACCTACTACACTATATAGTACACTATAATTATAAGCAACAGCATAGATAACTGTTGTAATCAGTGAAAGAACATACATACAACTTACTGGTGCGTGGTGACTGACTCGGAGACGCAACTATCCTATTACAACTGCTGCATACATATTCATATGAGTGATCAGCATTCCACTTGGTCTGAATTACACTGAGGTCAGCATCAATATCACACATACTATGGACATGCCTGATGGAGAAATTGCAAATTACCACAAAAGTTTTAAGTATACAAAAGCACTCCGACAACTTTAAAGAGAAAAACTAAGTTTTTTTTTTGAGGCATATTTAATATGTTCTCTGAGACTATAGGTTCCTAGCATCACTACTAGTGATACCTCTATTCAAGTTAAACTTTATAATATTACATGAGCAGTCAATATTCAATTTCAAATTTTGCTATGAACACCATTTTACTTTTTAGCACTTGCTCAACTCTCACCTCAATATTGGCATATGTATTTTAAGTACAAGAGGAGAGTTATTAAATGGAGAGTTAGAGGTATCAGGAAGATGAAGGGAATATTTTGAGGAATTGCTAAATGTTGATGAAGATAGGGAAGCTGTGATTTCGAGTATAGGGCAAGGAGGAATAACATCTTGTATTTTTGAGGAGGAGCCTGTTGTGAGTGTTAGGGAAGTTCGTAAGGCAGTGGGTAGAATGAAAGGGGGTAAGGTAGCAGGGATTGATGGGATAAAAATAGAAATGTTAAAAGCAGGTGGGGATATAGTTTTAGAGTGGTTGGTGCTTTTATTTAATATATGTATGGAAGAGGGTAAGGTACCTAGGGACTGACACAGAGCATGCATAGCTCCTTGGTATAAAGGCAAAGGGGACAAAAGAGAGTGCAAAAATTTTAAGGGAATAAGTCTGTTGCATTCTCCATTGGGAAGTGGAACAGAATTTTTCCTCTGTAAGCCATGCGTGTTGTAAGAGGCGACTAAAATGCCGGGAGCAAGGGGCTAGTAACCCTTTCTGTATAAATTACTAAATTTAAAAAGAGAAACTTTCGTTTTTCTTTTTGGGCCACCCTGCCTTGGTGGAATACGGCCGGTTTATTGAAAGAAAGAAGTCTGTTGAATATACCTGGTAAAGTGTATGGTAGAGTTATTATTGAAAGAATTAAGAGTAAGACAGAGAGTAGGATAGCAGATGAACAAGGAGGCTCTAGGAAAGGTAGGGGGTGTGTAGACCAAGTGCTTACAGTGAAACATATAGATGAACAGTATTTAGTCAAGGGTAAAGATGTTTTTGTGGCATTTATGGATTTGGAAAAGGCATATGACAGGGTACATAGGTGAGCAATGTGGCAGATGTTACAAATGATGTAATAGGAGGTAGGTTACTGAAAGCAGTGAAGAGTTTTTATGAGCATAGTGAGGCTCAGGTTAGAGTATGTAGGAGAGAGGGTGATTATTTCCCAGTAAAAGCAGGCCTTAGACAAGTATGGGTGATGTCACCATGGATGTTCAATATATTTATAGATGGGGTTGTAAGAGAGGTGAATGCCTGGGTGTAGGCAAGAGGTGTGGGGTTAAAAGATAAAGAATCTAACACAAAGTGTGAGATGTCACAGTTGGTCTTTGCTGATGACACTATGGTTTTGGGAGATTCTGAAGAGAAGTTGCAGAAGTTCGTGGATGAGTTTGGTAGGGTATGTAAAAGAAGAAAATTAGAAGTGAATATAGGAAAGAGTAAAGTGATGAGAATAATAAAAAAATTAGGTGATGAAAGATTGGATATCAGATTGGAGGGAGAGAGCATGGAGGTGGTGAATGTTTTCAGATATTTAAGAGTGGACGTGTCAGCAGATGGGTTTATGAAAGATGAGATGAATCATAGAATTGATAAGGGGAAAAAGGTGAGTGGTGCACTGAGGAGTCTGTTGAAACAAAGAACTCTGTCCATGAGAGTATAGTTATACCAATGCTCTTATATGGGTGTGAAACACGGGTGATGAATGTTGCAACAAGGAGAAGGCTGGAGGCAGTGGAAATGTCATGCCTGAGAGCAGTGTGTGGTGTGAATATAATGCAAAGAATTCATAGTTTGGAAATTAGGAGGAGGTGCAGGATTACCAAAAGAATTATCCAGAGGGCTGAGGAGGGGTTGTTAAGGTGGTTTGGGCATGTAGAGAGGATGGAAGGAAATAGAATGACTTCAAGTGTATAAATCTGTAGTGGAATGAAGGCGGGGCAGGGGTTGGCCTAGGAAAGGTTGGAGGGAGGGGGTAAAGGAGGTTTTGTATATGAGGGGCTTGGACTTCCATTCGCTCTTATCTAGCATGCATGAGCATGTTAGATAAGAGCAAATAGAAATAAATGGTTTTTAGGACTTGACATGCTGATGGAGTAGAGCAAGGTAACATTTATGAAAGGGTTCAGGGAAACTGACAGGCCGGACTTGAGCCCTGGAGATAGGAAGTACAATGCCTGCACTCTGAGGGAGGGATGTTAATGCTGCAGTTTAATAACTGTAGGGTAAGCATGCCTTTGGCAAGACAGTGATGGAGTGAATGATGAAAGTTTTTCTTTTTCAGGCCACTCTGCCTTGATGTGAGACAGCCTATGTGTTAATAAAATAAATAAATAGTTTGTCAGATAACCAAAACTGCTCTTCCAACAATGCTCCCACGGTACAGAGCAACATTCCAACATTTATGAAAACATCTCAGAATGGGTACTAGTCTCTTGTCAGGTTTATGACTTGTAAATTTCTTACAATTCTGAAACTTACAAAAATATAACTTATCCCAGACAAAGGGAATATCCTTTATTTCATCAAACTGTAACCCTGCTGCTCTTGCCTCAGAAATATCAAGTTAGAAAAACGATCTTAAAACAAATTATTTATTTTTATTTTAACACGCTGACAGTTTCCCATCAATGCAGGGTGACCCGAAAAAGCCACTTTCACCATCATTCACACTATCGGTGTCTGTTAGAGGCATGCAGTTAAGACAGTTTAGATGTCCCTTTACACAGCAAATATCCCAAAACCCTACTTTAGAGTGCAGGCACTGTACTTTCTACCTTCAGGACTCAAGTCTGGCTAACTGGTTTCCCCCCCCTTCACTAAATATTACCTTGCTCACACTCCAACAGCTTCCAAAGTCCCAAAAACCATTTCATCTCATTACAGGTGGTTGAGCATTGAGAAGGCAGGTGTGTGTGTGCTAGATCGGAGTGGAGACTAAGTGGCTTTTGGGATAGTATGAAGTTAGTGCGAGAGTAAAATAGCACTTATGAAGGCATTCAGTTAAACTGGTTAGCCAGACTTGAGTCCTGGAGGTGAGAAATACAGTCCTGTATTGTAAAACTCCAACCCATCCTTCAATAGGGATGTTGCAGTTCAGAGGGTCATATGAATTGTAATGTTTGCACTCTGTTGGCAAGACAGCTGCTGAATAAATGGAGAAAGTTTCCTTCTTTTGGGTAACTCCCTTCATGGGAGAAAATTACTGTGGTCAAAAATAAATTATATATACAACTGAAAAATTTTAATTAGTTTTATTCCTATGTTTGGTCAAAATGTTTTATATAATAATTGGCAATTTTCATAAATGAAAAAAGCAAACTATTAATACCTCCTTATAACACTTAAAAGTATACTCAAAGATATTAACCCTGTGACTGTCGCAGGCCCCTTTCTGAAACTGTCCTTCTAAGTCGATAAATTTTTGAAAAAAAAGAAAAAAATATTTTTTTTTCTTATGAAATGATAGAGAATCTTTTCCCGATGGTAATGACACCAAAAGTTCGAAATTTGGTCGAAAACTCACGGAATTATGCTCCCGCGAAGTTAGCGGTCTCGGCGACATATGTGTATCGGCAATTTTGCCGACTTTGAGCCCTGTTTTCAGCCAATTCTTTGGTCCAGTTGACCAAACTCATAGCTATTTCTTTAGAACTCCATTTTATCTATCAGCTGAGTACAAGAAACCGCCCATTTACCAATTTGAACTACCCAATATAGTGGTCAGAAATTGGCAATTTGGCCAATTTCACGCAAATTAAAAAAGATGCCAATTTCAAAATAGGGTCCAGAATAAACAAGGTAGACATTCTTGGCACTAAAATAACATATCCTCTGTTCATTAGTCACATTCTAGGCCCCTCTTATATTATTATTGCTTTCTATTTTGATTTTTTATTCATACAAAAAAATACAAAATTTACTGTGATGCAGACTACTGCATAATTGCAAAAATAGTATAAATAATATCAGTGCACTAGTGAAAGAATATTAGACTCCCCAGTTGATGCATATTGGACGTGTGGTGTGATTTGTTTACTCCTGAACATTGGTAAAAATTGAACATTTCAGCTACTTTGAGCTCAGTTTCAAGGCCGTTTTCATCGTCAAAGTAATGAAAATCATCTCTATTTCTGTAATTTGTTTTCCATTTTATCAACTAAGACCATGAAAACGCGAATACAACAACAAATACTATATAAAAAATACACCTCAAAGTCAGCGTTTTAATCCAAAAAAACGATTAGTTTTTTTTTCTCATTACGCACTGTGTGCTGCAGGATTTTTTTTATGTGGTGCACACTGACCACACAGACCCATTCTCTCACATGTGGGCCTACCAGCTTTCTCCCACTTGATTTGAAGCCGCTAGAATTTTTTTTTTTTCAACAAGTCGGCCGTCTCCCACCGAGGCAGGGTGACCCAAAAAAGAAAGAAAATCCCCAAAAAGAAAATGCTTTCATCATCATTCAACAATTTCACCACACTCACACATAATCACTGTTTTTGCAGAGGTGCTCAGAATACAACAGTTTAGAAGCATATACAGTGGACCCCCGCTTAACGATCACCTCCAAATGCGACCAATCATGTAAGTGTATTTATGTAAGTGCGTTTGTACGTGTATGTTTGGGGGTCTGAAATGGACTAATCTACTTCACAATATTCCTTATGGTAAAAAATTTGGTCAGTACTGGCACCTGAACATACTACTGGAATGAAAAAAGTTCGTTAACCGGGGGTCCACTGTACATATAAAGATACACAACATATCCCTCCAAACTGCCAATATCAAAAACCCCTCCTTTAAATTGCAAGCATTGTACTTCCCATTTCCAGGACTCAAGTCCGACTATATGAAAATAACCGGTTTCCCTGAATCCCTTCACTAAATATTACCCTGCTCACACTCCAACAGATCGTCAGGTCCCAAG